CGACCTGGCTGGGAGAGCAGTGGGAACACCCCTGGGGCAGGGACACGCAGTGTCTCCATCTCCCTGCCCGGTTTGGAGTGGTCACAGCCCTGCACCCTCATCCCCCCAACCTGGGGAGCCCCGAGGGTCCCAGGACAATGTGGGGAAGGCAACAGGAACACCCCCCCAGCATGTGGAGGCTTTGGGAATCAAAGACCTCTGCCCAGAGCAGCCTCCACTCAGGGAAGTCTCCAAAGCGTAAAATTCAGAAGAAAATGACTTGAAAAGAATTATTTCTTCAGAGAACAACTCAAGCCCATTTCCAGACCATTAACTCCTTCCTCTGCAGAACCCACTGCCAGGTTCCCGATGGAGAGGAGCACCATCACAGGTGTCCGTCACTGCGGAACTGTTCCCTCTTTCCGAACCATTAAGCACCAAAAAAATTAAACATAAAAACCATCAAAACCCCAAACCAACCAGTCCTTCCCCCTCCAGATCATTGCCTGTCCCAGGAGAAAAGCTTTCCGTGAGATCCAGGCTTTAAAAGACAAAAAAATTATTTAAAAAAATCAATAGTGTAAGTGACTTATTTCACTGCTGATGGTTTGTTCCCAGTGCTGACAGCCTCTCGCTGTATTTAGCGCAGCCTCGGTCCCTCCACCAGGATGTCAGGAGGTGTTCCTCAGCCATGATTTACACTCATTTCTCCCCATTTAGGGAGGCTCAGCTGGGAGTGGAGCTGAAGATGGATTTGGACACACAGTGAGGATGGTGCCTGTCTCCTGTGGCCAGGTGGAAATGCCATCAGCTTCTGCCACTCACAGTAGGAGGAAACCAGCGCTCCTGCTGCTGGGATCAACACCCTCCTTGATACTGCCAGTGCCAGGGCTCCTACTCCATCACCCACTGCAGGGCTGATGTCACTCTCTCTCTGCTTTCCCCTTCCTGCACCAGCTCCCCGAGGATTCCCCCTAGTCCAAGCTGAGTCCAGCCTGCCTCAGTCTATCCAAACCCCACCGGGGTGAGTGCCTGCATGGAGCAAAGGAAGCCAATGGCCTTACAGACTGCAGACAGTGTCTGCCCCCATCCCTTGCTGCTCCCCTGCTTCTAAGTCCTGTGCTGGTGCTCAGCAGCCTCCTGCACCTGGTACCCAGCCTGGATCAGTGCCCTGGTGAAGCCCAGATGCCGCGTGATGGACTCATACCTGTCTGCAGCAGCCACTGCCCACAGCTGGTCTCAGCCTCTGACAGTCTCGGGTGTCCTCAGGGAGCAGAGCCCCCAGCACTGCATCCCAGAGTCCTGCTGCAGAGAGAAGCATGGGGCACCACAGAGCAAAGGGTGATGCTCCTGCCAAAGAACACCTTCCCCACTCCTTTCTCCTGGAGGGCAGGTTTCCTGCCTCTCATTACCAGAGTGTCTCATCCATCATGTTCCCTCTAATTACCTTCTCATTTACCTCTTTAGTCAAATCTGTTTACAATCAGAGACAAGAAAACACAGCCCAGCGAGGAGTGTGATGGAGAGGGGTCTCTGTCCCTGCATGCTCTGCTGCCCCATCCAAGGCCAGCCCAGGACCCCGAGCGCAATGCAGGCAGGTCAGTGTGTGGCTTGACATGCCAAGGGCTCACAGAGAAGCCAAAGCCACCAGGCTCCTGCCACCCTGAGATGTCACTGCCATCACTCCCAGCAGCCCAGACCCCACAGGTGCTGCCTGGGGGTTGTGCTGCTCCCACACCCCATGTTTAGCCCAAAAGCCAACAGTGATGCTGCTGCCCCAGGGCCACAGAAAGCAGCAGGGTTAAACCAGGACACAAACCCCTCTGACTGCAGCCTAGGGATGCTCCCTTAAGAAAATCTGTTAACAGCTCAACTCTTTAATCCCCCCCTCAATTACAGTAACAACATTCTCCACAGCTGTCAAGACTCAGGGTGCCTGTCCTCACACCTCCAAGGCTTTTCTGTGCTGCTCATCATGACAGCACAAATGAGCTGGCCAGGAGCAGCACATTGAGCTGAATAATTACCTTAATTAATAACAGTGGGCCCAGGTGGGCCCCCAGCCCATCCCAAGGACTGAGGCAGAGGATCCAGCGTTTCCCAGCGCTGGGGTGTGGGGCTGGGCCACAGGTGCATGGCAAGGCCCAGTGTAATCACCAGGATCACGACTGACTGGGCATTACCATCCTTCAGCGCATCTCCCTCTCCTCACCAAATTTCATTACTTGTCTGCTGAAATTATTTATGGAGTGAGGATTTCTTCAGGCACAAGCCTCAGGAGCAGCAGTGCAAACCCAGAGGCCAGAAGCAGGACAGGGATGATCCCAGGAGCAGGGCGAGTGTAGGCAGGAGCTGGGAGCTGTGACCTCCTGTCTGTGAGGTGCCGGAGAGCCAGACCTCATCGCAGCACCCAACAGGCCTTGGGGACCCCAAGTGTTTTTTTCATGCTTTACCAGACCTTTGTACAAGATAAGGGGTTTCACGTTTCCCAAGAGGGCAGGAAAGTTGCTTCCAGACCCTAAAGCACATTGGGACCCCCGGGCAGAAGACCCTCCCTTTGAAGCAGTGGGGTTACTTCCTCTGAAAGAGAGGGGA